ACACACACACACACACACACACACACACACACACACACACACACACAGATGGATCTTTTTCTCAAGGGCAGCCACATAGTTTCTGCTCTTTCTCTAGAGTTAAGCTGACTATGCCAGGCCCTGATTTTGGCAGCACAACATTGCCAAGGATGTCTGTCTGGCACACTGATTCTTCACTTGGAAAAGGACTAGCAGGCAGCAGGTGCGGGAGCTCCTATTTCTGCCCAAAGGCCAGAACCTTTGAAGACTCTCTGCTGCTGTGAACCTCTTCCCCAAGTCTACCTACCAAGAAACCGACGCAGATCCCAGAAAGGATGAGCTGATCCATGCCCAGAGCACAGAGCAGTCCTAGCTGCAAGCTGTCACTGCTCTTCCAGCCATCCAGTCCTCTGGACATGATTCATTCTAAATTGCTCACCCTCCACTTCCTCGCCCTTTATGCTGCAAGTATGTAAGTTCCTACTCTGTAACGGGCTATCGGATACTCACTTTTCTTCCTTGTTTAGCTCCTGGGCATGCAATAAATTTCTATGCCTTTTCTTCTGCTAATCTGTGTACTGGTTTATTTCAGACTAAATGCTGAAGTGTGGGATACAAGCTGGAAAACTCCCTGACAACGTTAAACAGAGTCCGCTTTGTCCCATTCCATCGGTTAATGAGTGAGTGGAAGCAAGAGCGGCCCTCTTTAACACCCTCAGGACAAATTTGTTTGTCTCCTGAAATTAGAATAAGGATGCATACAAAATTTACCTACAGAGTTTAGGGCAGTGGGGACAGGGGGCAGTCACAGAGTCCAAAACCACAAATTGCTGTCTGCCCAGTATGACTCTTTTTGAGCTGTCTGAGCTACTTGGAAGGAATTCAAGCTCTGGAAGGAAAAATAGTAGCAGTCAGCCTTCTTTATAAATGTGCTTTACTTGATAACCCAGCTGGTGTCTGGCTGCCTCCAGCCCCAATGGCTCAGCCCTCCAGCACTCATTGTGGCCACTCAGCACCGTGGCTCTCACCTCATCCCCTACCTTGTTTTGAAATGATTTATTCAGAGGCACTTTAGGGATTCGGGAGAAACAGCTCTTCCCATTTTAACTATTTTATGTTTCTCTAACTGAGAACACATCGTTTTTTCTCCCCCCACAAAGACATCAGATCCATGGTCTGGAAACTCAGTGGTCACCTGCAGGCTCAGGCTGGCCACTTGATGCCCTGGGTAAATACAGAATTAGAACATTGCGTGCGTCTCTTCAGGCATGGCTCACCTTGTCCAGCGTGTCGTTCAGAGATTCCAACATCTGCATCTTGGTGACATTTGTGATGGCGCTGTGAAGATGAAAAGAAACTCTAAATGAGACCCAAACCACGGGGCTGGGGATGTAGCTCGGGGGTTGGTAGAGGGCACACACAAGACTCTAGAGTCAACCCATGGTGGCACCCCAAAGTTATTTACTGAGTAGGGGAGGTGTTTCAGTCAGTAAAGGCCCTGCTGTGCAAGTGTGAGGACCTGAGTTTGATCTATAGAACCCATAAAGGAGGAGGAGAAGAAGGAGCAGGAGCCAGATTTGGAGGTGTGTATCTGTCATCCCAGCACTAGGGAGGCAGAGAAAGGGGTTAGCCTATTTGGTGAGGCCTAAGCTAATGAGAAAGCCTGTTGTTAAAAAAAAAAAAAAAAAAAAAAAAAAAAAGGGCATATTGTTCCGGAGGATCAATAGCTGGAGCTATCCTTTGGCCTCTGTGTGTATGCACGAACACAAACATACACAGACACACCAAGCTGCTACTTCAATTAACTTTTATCTTTTCACTGGAGGGTAATGTACACACATAAAATGCACATATTATAAGCATATGGTTTATGGTCTCATAAACTGAAAACACTTGTCAAACCAGTGACATCTGGGAATAACCAGTCCCCTGAAACAAAGCCCCAGAGATCAGTTCTGTCTCCGGATTTCATACAGCAAGCTGCCAATAGCATGCGCTCCCTCGTGACTACCTTCTCTCTCTTTGGCCAGGCTATGTTGTAGGTCAGGCTCAAATCCACAGTGTTCAGTGTCCTAAAGGAGCCCTGTGCTTGGTGTATTTTTTTCTGGATGGTTTGGTTGATAGGCACAGACTGATGATTCTTAGAGAGACAGCTCCTGAGGCTCTTTCCAATGCGTTGCATGTGGCCCCCAGCCACCAGAAAGGACAGGTTTCTTCTAACCCGAATCCGACCTTGGAAAGTGGGCGCCGGGGAGAGCATCCGTAATGCTTAAGTTCTGTGGTCATCCACTTCCATTCTCGAAATGACTATTAGCTAACAAGTTCTGGTCACCTGAGCAGAGTCAGGTGACCAAGTCAGGTGACCAGAGTGGACATCAATCACCACCTCCTCGATAGTCTCTAAGCAACTCCAGCGCACAATGCCCAGCTGAGGCAGAGTTAATACTAAGGCCGGTTTCTCTGAATTGCAGAGAAGTCAAATGACTTATCCCCTGCCTGTCCATTATAAGCCCTCCCCAAGCCCGGATTCTTCAGAGCCCCAGGCCCAGGCCCCGTAAATGATGCAATGGCTGATTGGGTTTATGCTTAACAGAGTCGAGAACAAGACTACCGTAGCTACCCGTCTTCCGAGTCAGTACAGTCTGATACTATTTCCAGCATGAACGTATTGTCCTAGGAGCTGCCTCAGGTGCTGGGTGAGAAGGCAGACACTGCATGGGTTTCACGGTTAAGAATTTACAGGTCTGGCTTCCTCATGGGATTGCTCTTTGCTGGTATCAGGAAGAAGCAAGTGACTTGTTGCTCGTGGACATCCATCAGCGTTTTATTCTTTCTTCTGTGTGTGTGCATGTGTGCCTGTTTGTGTGAAATCCTTTACAAAAATCCCTCCCATATATTGGGGGAAAACACTTGAAAAATAATTTAAAAGTAGTTTTATTTGGGGGCTGGGGAGATGGCTCAGTGGAGAAGGGGCGTGCCGTGCAAGCCTGAGGGCCAGGGTTTTCATCCCCAGAGCCCACAGAAATCCAGGTAGGCATCATGGTCATCTACAGCTTCGGCCCTCAAGATGCAGGGACGGGAAAACCCTGGGGCAAACTGGCCGTCGAGACTAGCTAAAGCAGTGAGCTCAATAAAATGGACAGTGATTGAGACAGACATCTGACATTGCCATTGGGATTCTACATGTGTGAGCAAGCATGTACATGAATGCTACACACACACACACACACACACACACACACAAAAGGCCAATAATTTAGTGTGAAAGGAATTACAGTCTGTTTCCATGCACATTCTCTCTGTGAGACTTAAGCAGGTGTCCTGAGCATTCTTTTATCAACTCCTTCTGAATGACTCACTGGTGTTCCATGGAAACCAATCTCAGAAGCATCCCAGAGGGGACCACTTGGAGGAACCAGGCCGATATGTTAGTTCTTTTTCCAAATGCACTCATTTTCCTTAAGCAAATCTTTGGGTCGTTGGTACATCTGTGTGTAGGATACATCAGCTTCTACCTCTAAACTTTATAATGTCAAGGTCATGGTAGAAGAAGCAGGGAGAAAACAGCACCAGTATTGGTGCGTGTTCAAGCCCTGTCTTCGTTAGGGTTTCAGCTCCTGATAAACACCTCGACCATCAGCAACTTGGGGAGCAGAGTTTATTTCTCACACTTCCTGGTAACAGTCCAGCACTGACGGAAGTCAGGGCAGGAACTCGGGCAGGGTAGGAACCTGAAGGCAAGGACTGAAGCAGAGGCCATGGAGGAGTACTGCTTGCTGGCTTGCTCCTCATGGCTTCCTTATAGCACTCAGGACCACCAGGATAGGTGACCCACAGTGAGCTGGGCCACCTTGTATCAATCACCAACGGAGCATATGTTCCACAGGATTGCCCACAGGCCTGTCTGGTGGGAGCATTTGTCTCTATTGAGTTTCCTTCATTCCAAATTACTCTAGCCCATGTCAAGTTGACATAAGAGTAGCCAGCGCATAGTAGCTATTAGTTTCTTAAATATGCGAATGATGATTTAAAAAAATTTTAGGGGTGGCTGTTTTTAAGGCAGGGGACTCACTTTACCATGGAACCTGTTACGAAAAACGCCAGATGAGGTGCAGTATCTTGAAGAGTGACCCGAAAATGAGCTGAATGGACGAGCCTCAGGGTCAGATGCAGTTAGGACCACTTTGTAAGTGGGAGGTGGCTGGGTGGCCACAATAAGGAGAATGGGTAGGGTGTGATGGGAACCCAGGAACACTCCAGCTGGTAGCCCAGAACACCATGATGTTCACCTCTACCCAAGCCTAGCTGCCTCCCCTGAAATTCTTGGGGCCTTGGTTTGTTCTCAAATAACTTCTGGAGGCAGAACGATAAGCAATCCCTACCTTGTTTTCTCCAATCCTGTTTTTTTGGTGTGTCTTTCCAAAACGCCCATTTCTTGTTTTTTGGAAATTCTCATTCCTCCCGCTTTCACTGGAAACAAGAATCACCAGCACGTACGTTAGAACAGCTTTGTTTCCTAGACAGGACCCACGTTTAAGTTTCCAAATTTACATAGAAAAACTTTTATCTAAACAACAGAATAAAGGAAAAAAAAAAAAAAACCCTAAGGAAGCCAGGGTAGAGAGGAGGAAGGTCTGGGGTTTACTTTTTTATGCTCATAGAGAGGGAAATCAAGGTTGAAAGGCAGAAAGGCCACACCTTAGACATAGGAAAAATAACAGCGTACTCCCTTAGGCATTTAGCAGAAAAACGAAACAAAACAAAACAAAAAAAAACCCACACATTTTTTTTTCTCGTTATCAAACCAATTACTTTCTTCAAGATAGCAACCCATAATTACAATGTGACCCTCTGTTTTCCCACAAGATTAAAGCTTTTGCATGGCTTGCACTTTTGTTTTTTCAACCGAAGCTTTCAAAAGCCAGATTCTGAGAGATGAGCCAAATTTCAGGGTACTGACAGACATTTTAATTCAAATGAGGGGCTTTGAATTCCAGAGGCTAGCCACCTTCATCTCAGACCCCAAACCTCCGTGTTGGCTGAGCTCTGCAGATTCTAATGAGTAATTAAACTGTATTAATAGTCATGCCATTCAAGAGTTCAATTAGTGTTAATTAGGCTACAGATGACCTAAAAGCAATTCAAGTGTTTAACAATGTCAGCTGAAATCAGCGTTGGAAAAGAAACAGCCGGCTTCAGATTGCAAGTCAAAACAAATACCTTCCTCTTTTCCCAGAAAAATCACACATCTAAAATCTGACAAGCTTGAATGAGAAGTGGCTACACGGACGTACGCTGATTTGCCTGAACCTGTTCATTTTCTTTATGGAAACACCACTTGGGCAATTTTCTAAAACTAACTCTAATAAGGTGAAAAGTAAAAAAAAAAAACAAAACAAAAAACTATTTCTCAGTGCCTTTGGGTGTTGGCTTTATCACTGCTCCTGTTAATACTTAGTTCTTCTGATAGGGCCTACATGCAGAAGGTGTGCAATCAAGAAGCATGAAAAGATTTGTGCGTCCCTCCCCCCATCCCTGTCCGGCCCCCCTCCCCCCGATAATCTTCCCAGATGCTGCTAAGTTTCAACTTCTAGTTCCTGGTCTTTATCCACAGATAGCACACACATTATTTGTTTTAAATGGTAGCATAAGATACTACCTGTTCTGTGTTTGGTTTATTCTCCCCCTCCCCCCTTAAGCAAACATTTTATAGAACATTCTGTGTTTCTCTATCTTTATCTGTGTCTTTTTTTTTCAATATCTGCTTTGCAATCCTCTTATGAAAACTTTAGCCACTTTGCTGATGCTAAGCAAAGCTGTGATGAGTATCCCTTTTACACATGGATCTGTACTAGCACATGTCTGTCAGGGGGTGTATTTCTAGAAGTGACTTTGCCAGGTGCCTTTGAAATTCTGTTAACGCTTGCTGAATTGGTCCTCACAGAGGTCACACACTGATGGTTTACAACCTCATCAGCTACCATGGCAACAATTGTTTCTCCAGACAATGAGCTAGAAAATGTTTTGTTTTATCAACCAGCAAGCTAAAAATTAGAGCTATGATGGGCATGAAGAAGCTGCCTTAGATCTCATAAGTTAACTGGAAGCAGGATGGAAGGCCAACTTCTCTGCCTTCATTTTGTGCTGTTGCTTTCATTTGGCTCACCTGCTTACTTCTACATATAGGTGATGAAGAAGGAGGAGGAGAAGAGAGCAGATGACCCCATATTACCCTCTGTGATTCTTCTTGTATTTAAACCTAAAGCTCCAGCTGGGGATAGAGGCATAAATCAGCAATTAGGAGAGCTTTCAGACTTGTGGAGATCTGGTTTGATTCCCAGAAACCACTCTAGCTCACAGTTACCCTGTAACTCCAGCGCCAGGGGATCTAACACCCTTTTCTGGCCTTACACACATATACATTAATATAAAAAAAATAAATCTTAAGCTTTGATCTATGTCAGGACCTGGATGGTGAAGTTGGGGGTCCATGCACCCTTTTGTCTGTTCTTCTCAATGCACACAGATCAAATCTCCTCTCTGGTTTTGCTCATCACTCATGTCTTTGTATGGCATGCTGGGAAAAATGGCCAGACTTAGCTACTTGGAGCTGCCCCTGAACAAGGGCGGTTGTCTTAAAACTCCAGGTTACAGTATCTCAGTGCTTTAAATTGCACTCCATTTTTGTTATTGCAGATTAAGCTTGTTTTAGAAGGTATTTGTATTTTTCTTTTCCATTGTTTTTGGCAATTTCCTCCCCACTACTGGATTACTAGTCTTTTCTTCATCTTTTTTCTTAGTGAATTTTAGGAGCTATTTGTGAAATGCACTATAAATATGAAGTAGTTATCTGTACCATTTACTGTTTTTTTTCCTTATTGATAATGTCTGCCCATTTGCACAATTGTACGGTTCTTATGTGGACGTGTCCATCCCTTATGGATTTGTAAGGAAATGTGATGTTTTCCAGATGTTCTCTTCTGTCTTCTGGAAGCTCAGTGGTTTCATCCTGTGAAATCCGTCTCTGGTTAAATGCTCACGTCCTTGGTCCTTCAGTGATATTTGATGCAAGTCATATGGAAGAGGCAGGTCTGTCTTGTTTTGTTTTGAGGCTGTTGAGACCAGATTTTTTCTATGAGCCCAGGACTTCTTGTGTAGCCTAAGCTGGCCTCAAGCCCCCAACCCCCCTGCCTTCACCCCCTGTGTGCTGCAGTTTATTGGCATGCACTGCCATATCTGGTTTGATGTAAGATTTTTTAAAAGATGGTCCAAATACTGAAAATACTGAAATGCACCTTTACTGTACGCTGAGTTCTCGGGCATAATGCATACGTACAGATATATTATAGATGTGCAACACCAAACCTGGATAAACTGATGGATGCTTTTAAAAGGGGAAATTCATGCCAGTATATTCCTGGTGGCTCTGTATTTCAGAATCTGTGTGGTTTTCTATTGTTCCCCTTCTTCTGAGCCCCTTGGAAATTTGTCCAGATCAATCTTGCACATTTATGCTTAGGCTACTCTTTGATAAGCACTTTCCCTTTGTTGACATCGGTATTATAAGCCAGCTCTATTCTTCAGGCCCAAACTAAGAACTTAAAGCTGAAAGCATTAACTGAACCTCAGTGAGTTTATCTTAATTGACTTCACGCCTAGTGTATAGTGAATTCCATTATTGCTTATTATAGCTTTCTGTAGATTTGCCTAGATTTTCCAGGTGAAAAAAATATATGTAATTTACAAAGAACAAAATATCTCCTTTAGAAAAATGTTAAGTAGTGGTGGTTGTGAACACCTTTGCCTTTCTAATTTTTAAAGTCTGTGTTTCCTTATTAAATGTAATATATTCTTTTGGTGGCCTTCTCTTCCTACATATCTCTCTATCTACATGCATACACATCTATTATAAATTTATTATCACATTTAGGAAGTATTCTTTAGTATCATTCCATATCATTCTATTATTTCAATAAATGTTGAATTTCAACAAGTGCATTTCAACATTTATGGATATATTTATATGAGTTTTTTTTTTTTTTTCTTAATGTGGTTCATTAATTAGATCACTGTTTTTTGGCAATGTTGAGTTCATTTGGAAGGACTCGTAGAGTCTCCAAAGGAGAGTGCCTAGAGGGAGGGAAGGGAATTCAGTGACAGGAGGAGCTGTGGATTCCAGGAAGACTACTAGTGGGAGGTGAGGGTACCATCAGCAAAATTATGAAGGGCCATGGCTCACATTGGGAATTGTGGGGGTTCTAAGGGAATGCTGGGCAAAGTAGGGCACCCCTACTCTCCGAAGCCTCACGACTGCTGTGATTTGCCTACGGTTTGAGTTGTCCTCAAAAGGTTGATGATCTCAGAAACTGGTCCTCAGTGTGCCGGTAATGGGAGGAGTAAGTGTTAAGAGGCAGGGACCCCTGGCCAATCTTCCTCTTATCTTCTACTGTGACAAGAGATTGTAGCTCTCCACCATAACATCTTTGCCAAAGAGTCAGTCTCCAGAACTGGGAGCTAAATAAGCCCAATTTATTGATAAAGTTAGCCCATCTGAGGTATTTCATTATACTAACGGAAAACAGATGCATACAAGGATTGTGAGCTAAATAAGAAAAGTTTCAGAATAGTTTGTGAAGTACATAGGTGGTACCATAGTCAGTGCCTTTCCATGTCATAAAGTAAGGGGAAGAAGTTGGTCTGTCCTGAGCATCCTAGGAGAATCCCCGGGAACTTAGGCAAAACTGAGTGACATAGTCATATTCAATGAGGTCCTTACTGTGTTCCTAAACCTTCTAATCTACTGTGGGAAGAAAATCCATCACTTGCCCTACTTAACACAAGCACTTAACACAGAAACAAATGCCAGAGGATGTTTTTGAAACCCACTCCGTAGGAGTTCTTCGTTTTGAAGAAAAAAGCAGAGACATTTAGGGAAGACGCAAAAGCTTCCCCCATTCTGTGTGTGGACCCACTGGTTTACAGAGCGAGGTTCTCACAAACTTGTGGTGGATGAACTAGCTGGAACCAGTTTATGGGAGGGTCATCTTCAGAGCTCTGCTGGGAACACTGGTCTCACTGGTCTCTCAGGATCGGGTGAAATCATTGCAATCCACTACAATCATGCCCATTTTGTTGATACCACGGATGGCTAGAAGGTCTTTCCAAGGAGCAACTATGTCTAAACCAACCCTTTTTGAACTTCCATGCACCCTACCCACTCCAGCTTCGTATTCGTACTATATTTTCTTTAAAATCTTCATGTAAAACCAACTGCAATTCAACAAAATAAAATATGAATGAGTTTGCTATCTTAAGAGACCATAACTACGATTTTGAATACAAATACAGTAAGATTTTCAGGACTCTTGGTGACTTAAATCAGCCAGAATCTATAGAAGTAAAAGGATGTTCTTTTGGGTTGTTTCATTAGAAAACCTAAGTTGGTACAGGAGTATTTGCAACTTTCTCCTCCTGTCTCTGAGGTGGAGCTGTGGTAGATTGTGGTAGATTCTGTGGTTTGTTATTTTGAAAAGATAGGGCTCATAGTTTCAGATTCTACATAATTTCCAGTGAGGCTTCTTTCAGTATCTGGTAGAGAGTAATCGACATGAAAACCAGCTTGTAAGAAAAATTAGCCCTTTCCTTCCCTAGAGCATGGAGAACGTATACAAGAAAGCAAGAAAACGCCAAGTTTGTGCCAGCTCTGCTTTTGGCTGAAAACTCACTTGCAGATCTAATGAAAAGGCCAACGCTCACAGGCTGCTCCGTGCACATTCAGGGTTGATGTGTCAGTGAATTTTTGAATTTTTGAAACATTCTCAGTAAAAGAGGTTTTTTTCACAAAGCCAGTTTTATTTTCTAGTCTCGGGGCGGTGAGGAGTTTCCTGGCCTCTCTGAGTTTCCGTTTGCTCCGTTGTGATGCTTCTCTGTAGAAGAGCATTTATCTGTAGGGCTGCTGCCATAGCTAGACGTCTCTATGCTGTGTAGGGCAGGGTTGACGCTGCTGAAAGATTGGCAGCTGCCCTTGCACTCATCAACCGCCTGCTCCACGAAGCTTTGGGCAGTGGCTCTCACGCACTTGTCTTCTAACCTCCTCCAGAGATGCCCTTCCTACTCTGCCTGAGTTAGCCAGTTGGCCTGACAAAAATCACGACTTCCTTTTGTTTAGTTTTCATGTCTCTTTAAAATTAATTTTTTTTTGGGGGGGGGAAAGAATTTCAGTATGTAGCCCCAGCTGGCCTGGAATTCCCTTTGTAGACCAGGCTGGCCTCGAACACACGGAAATCTGCCTGCTTTTGTCTCCTGAGTGCTGAAATTATGGGTGCGCACCACTGTGCTTGTCTTTTATTGTTGTAATAGAATATCTTTTATGGATTCTTTGACACACACATCCGCACACACACGCATAAATGTATGGTGTATCTTATACCTACGCCAACTATTATAGCTTTTTTATGTGTATATGTTGTTATACTGTGTTCTCATTCATCTCCATCCTTCACTGCTTTACCCCATCCTTCCTGCCCTCCGTTTTGTTTTAAGCGACACTGGTCCTTAGGTAGTTACAGTTACCTTTGGGCTTCCTCATGATAGCTCTTTCCCATAAACTTTCCTATTTCCCTCACAAGCCAGAAAATGTATCTTGCAATTCCCAGCGGACCCTCCTGTACAGCTCTCTTTCTTTTGGCTTAAATCAACCTAAAATGCAGGACTGCAGATGAACTCATGCCACGAGCCTTCCTAGTCATCATGCATTTAGCTTCCTTGGACCACCTTCTACTCACAAAATGTTGCTATTGTTGTTCATGTAATGTTCAGTTCTCATAAAACTAAGAGAAAGGTAAATCAAAAAAGGCAGGAAACTCAAGGTCACGCTTCCCAGAGCCCAGGCTGCTTCATGGTTAACCTTGTCTTATTCCAGGGCATAAATGTAAAATCAAGGCTAACAGTGGCGTGATGTGTTACATGAATACACGTGAGAGCGCCCACATGGGCACGTGGGAGAGCTACAGCTGGCCGACCTCCGAGTGCTTCCATTCACAACTCTGCTGCAAGCACTAGCGCCTCTTCCCACTGCGATCGCTTTCTGTCTGGACTGCTGCAGCAGGTGCCAGTGAGGCTCCCACATCTGGGTGCCTTGGTGTCCAGAAGGGTCATTCTTCTGACTGCAGTGGCTTTTATGAAGAGGCCTGCACTTTAAAGGGGTCAGCATTCAAGTGTCAGGTGCTTTGCGTTACCTGGCTCTTCTCATCCTTACAATAGCCTTACTGGAGAGATGCCATTTATCATCTCCTTTCAGAGGTAAGGAAACCGAGGCTCAGAGATGTAGCTTAAAAGCCAAGTTCTAAATGCCTTATCTTCCCACCATATGCCATTAGCTTCCTGCTGTCAGACATCTGAATTTTGTCTTTAAATATCAGGTGAAGATTTAATAGAATTTTTGGCACCTTATTAGTTTTGTTCCATAAATAAAACTTTGCATCACTGCAAACTGGTTCAGACTTTAAAAAAAAGAAAAAAAAAAAAAACAAAACATAAGGAGCCAAGCAGAAGAATAAAGCTTCTTTGTTCTTTCGAGCTCAGTAGGGGAGCAAGTCTGCCTGCATCTCCATCCCAATTATCCTAAACCTCTTATCTGCAATGTCACAGTTCAAAATAATTCATTGTCATGCCAGAGGCATTGTGACATGCTGGATGGAGCCATGGTGTGCTATGTACACAGAGTAATTAGCAAGCATTAGTGACGGGGACAGGAAGCTCCCCGAGGTCTCACTGAAACTTTCGTTTGTTTAAGTTTAACTTTGGGCATGAATGTACTGGAGCAAGTCAGAGTTTTGGCTGGACCATTTTTCTCGAGGATTGGAGTCGGGGGTAGGATGTCTGTAGACTGACAAAGGAGATGGGCCATGGTGCCTAGACCAAGCTGGGGAAAACCCTAGTTGTGCTGGGCTGCCTTCCAGAAAGCTCTGGGTCTGCCCAAGACCCTCACCCTTTGTAAGGCTGGTGCCTGTCATACCCGCCTGCAGCCAAGAGGCCTCAATCTCCTCTTAGATGGAACAAAAAATTATACAAATAATTGGATTTGTAAACGGAGACAGGCAATCACAAAGCAGCCAAGCTTTTGGGAGGTCGGGGTGGGGGTTGAGGGCAGCAGTTGAAAGAATGTAAAACTCACTAAAAATAGGTCTGTGCATGCTAGCCAAGCATACAAACACATGCTTAGTTCCAGGAGAACCTGTTTCTCAAGTCCACAGAATTGACTGGAATAGCATGGATTTAAAAACGGAAGACCCCAAGATGTTAGAGCCTCTAGGGTCCCTGGGTGCTACTCAGCTTATGGGTTGGTAGGATTGCCCAACCCCAAAGACTCCAGGGGCACGAATGAGGCACTGTTCTGAGCATGGAAGTCAGTTATGAAGTCAGCTCACCATGGGCATCTTGGGGAGACTGAGCATGAGCAATAGGGTTCCCAAGGTGGTAACTCAGCGATTCTACAACCGGGGAGGCGCTCAGGCTGCTGCAAGTTAAAAGCAACAGCCGAGGGCTGACAGCCTTGGCTCTGCAGAGTTGCGTCTGGGAGCCTGCAGCTTCGAGCCAGCAGCTTCGGGAGTGAGGTCAGTTGGGGGGACCTACCTGCTGGAGGGTGCCGCCCTTTCAGCGGGGACAGCAGGACCTGAACTTCCTTTGCCATAGTGCCTTGCCGGGTGGTAGGGAGGCTGAGTACCAGTTGTGGCTGCCTCAGCTCACCTTAAGAAGGCTTTAGAGTTGTAGTGGGGCGGGGCCCCTTGAGGGCATTGTTGAGCAACAACTGGGCTTGTCGCTCATCTGGGTAAACCAGGTAGATGACAACAGAGGGAATTCTGAGGAAAAGGTAGGGAAGATCCAGTCTGGCGGAATTCTTTCTAAGGTCAACAATTCTCTCCAGCAAGTGCAGTGCAGGGGTGTGAGGCTCTTGGTCGCATGCAGGCATGACACAATGAACAAGACAGGGTCATTGCTTCAGGACATATGTGGCTTTCCAAGGGACAATTACAAGTAAGCACCATGCCATTTTGAGGGCTTCCCAGTGCTGAACATTCATACTAAGAAATTAATTGCAAGTGTGGACAGAGGCCTCTGTGCAAGTGTATTAATCGTGTATTTCTTTTATTCCTTACTCTGTTTAGCTTTGAAGAGAATTACTATAAATATCACCCAAACATAGGCTCAGTTATATTAGGCTGTGGCCGAGAGAATGCTGTGTAGTGCATATTCTAAGTTATGTTTCAGGTAATATTTAGCGATGCAGAAATATTAGTGACAATACAGTAAAATGGTAGTCTAGAAACCAATAGATGAAATTTTTACCAAAAACATATGTATTAAAGCCTATTGCTGGATCTCCAGAGCCAATATTTAGCAGATGGTACTTCGACAAGCTCCTCTAAAAAAACCGCCCTGTGGCTGTGCCTCGGGAGGCAGAGGCAGGAGGATGTTAGTGAAGCTGTTAGAGCAACAGGAGTTTTTACACACTGTTATGAGATACAATGTATAATAAAAAGAAAACATGTTAGAAGTCAACTCAACATACTTAGCACATATCATGCAGCCAATAACGATATGGGGAATCCATGTAAGGGAAATAAAAGCTTTTATATGCATAGGAACCAGTGTGTAGATAATGCCTGTAATAGTTCTGTTCAGAAGAGACAGAAGTTAAGAAACAACCCCAAAGCTCATCAGCTGTAAGAGTGGGCAAACAGCTTGTGTCACAAGCACATGATAATATAGTACAAGCTAGGCATGGTGACACAGACCTAGAATCCTAACACTGAGGAGGCTGAGACGGAATAAGACTATAGGTTTAGGACTGGCCTGAACAATTTAACAGGACCCTGTCTCAAAATAAAAACTAAATGGGCTGGAAAGATGGCTCAGCTGTCTGATGCTCTTTAAGAATGATGCTCTTAAAAAAAAAACCACAACACAACAAAACAAAACAAATCAAAACAAAACAAAACGGATGCTGCTCCGGACTGGAGTTCAGTCCCCAGCGCCCTCACCAGGTGCCTCCTGGAACTGTAGCTCCAAGGGATCTGACAGATCTGACACCTTCCTCCTCAGACACTCACATGCTGATACACACACACACACACACACACACACACACACACACACACACACACCAAACTTAATAACAAAAGGACTCAGTGTCAGAGCGCGTGCGGAGCACGCAGGAGGCCTCTTCAATCCCCAGCATGGTGGAGAAGGAAAGGGAGCAGGCATTCAAAGGTTAGGAACAGTAGTTGAATCAGTTACGACTGCAGAGGAAACAAGAAAGGTTAAACTCCAAAGGAACCGGAAGGGCGTGGTGGATCGATGCCGCCTCTTGATTGTCTTGAATCACAGGTCATATATACCTTCTATTAAAATGGTGCCTGTTGCTGTGTGTGAAAATACATCTCAATAAACAATATTAACTTCTGCTTATTAAAGAAACCAATAAACGTGTCCTATAAAATGTTGAGAGACTGTTTATAAGTAGCATATTACCTGCTGATTTAAAAAAATAGTTTTTTTTTTTTTTTTAATTAACTGTGTTTGCAGGTGATCACAAACTGTGTTTGCAGGTGTATGTATTCATGGGCATAAAATTTTTGAAGCTTCATGTGTAGACTCAACTCTGCCTACACGTATATGCAACACACAATGAACTTCATGTTTAGACTTGGAACCCATCTCAAAGAGATCTCTTGTGTGGATTCCAAGTTTTGAAAAAGCACCAACCAGACCCTTTGGTTCTAAGCCTCTCAGATAAGGGCTGCTCAGCCTATAATGGGTAATAGGACCACTTGCTTCTTTTCTTTAACCCTCAAAAGAAAATAAAAGTTCGTAACAGGACTGTAAAAGTGATCTATAAAAGTGCCACAAGCCATGAAGACACAAGCCACCTGCTCAGCCGTAGGAAGGGGTGTGTGTGGGGGAAACAAGACCATCATGCTTTGCCTTCTGGGTGGTCCCCTCCCACAGCCTTGCCCATCTCTGCCCCTGCAGCAGTAAGAGTCAAGCCTCTACTGTGACCCCAGGGGTGGTGAGCTTCCGGTGCCCTGCCCGGTCTGCCCAGGTCTGTTTTGTGGTCCGTGAGAGAAAGCGGAGTCAGCATTATCTGCTTTGGAAAATGCTCCGAGGACACCTCTAAGGATGAAAGTCTTTCCGAAGAAAGGCAACGTGTTATTACCCCTGCATCGGGCTTATAAACCTCTTTTAAAAGGAGGCGTTGGTGTGGGTGACTCCGGTCGGGGAGCAGTCCTAGGACTGAGGCCTTTGGGATTGTGCTCCGTAATGCTAAAAGCCTAGTAAAATGGGTTCTCATGGCACTGTGGTTTCCAGACAGCCTTTTTACTTTTACAGGAGAGGCCAGTATAACATTAATGACATTAATCAGGCTTCGCTTTCATGGCAGCACTTTCTTCTCTTAATTTGTGTGTGTGTGTGGGGGGGGGGATGCTATTACATTTCTCGGGCACTTTTATTTTTGCAGTGGGCATCTCGTTTTTATTTTATGCTTTCTTCCCCTGACCCAACGTCAGTTACATGGTATATCTAATAGAAGTTCTGAAAGAACGAATAATCTGTGTCAAAAATTATATGCTGTAAGGGTGGTGATTCCATGCTGGGGTAGTTTTGAGGGAAACCTCCTACAGGTCCTGCCTCCTGTTAGGACAATGCCTGGGCTTCCAACACCTATCCATGCCTTCTCCTGAACACTGGGATTTCCCTCCCTTCCAGACATTAAAAAAAAAAAAAAAAAGAAATGAGAACATAAGTCAGCTGCAGTCATTATTTCTCTCTGTGTGTGAGTGTGCACCCATGTGCGCTCTTGAGGAGTGTGTGTGTGTGTGTGTGTGTGTGTGTGTGTGTGTAGATCAGAGGACAGCCTATGGGAATCAGTTCCCTCCTCCCACCACGTGGGTCCTAGGGAGTGAACTCAGGCTGTCAAAAATGCTTGAAGGTGGCCCTTCGGCCCGCTGAGCCACTGAGAGAGACCCCAGAGAGGCTTTGAATTCCTGACAGCCTCCTTCTTTAGTAATTGGTCTGTATGTGTGGCCGGTGCGTGTGCGCATGTATGTATGTATGCATGTGTGAATGTATGTGTGAACGTGCTTGTGTGGCCAGGTGTGGAGGCCAGAGGCGAACACAGAACGTCTTCCTCAGTTACTCTTTATATTATTTACTTTATTTTCAAAATTAAGAATATTTATTCTTTGACAATTCCATGCATGTATCTAATGTATTTTGACCACATCTACACTTTACACTCCTGACACCACCTTAGGTTTTTTTGTTTTTTGTTTTTTTTTTGAGACAGGGTGTCTCAGTGAATCTGGTGCTCATCAATTGATTAGGCTGGGTGGCCAATGAGCTTGAGGAATTTCCCCTGTCCCCACCCTCCCCTGAACCCCTCCCCCAACAACAGTTGCTGTGTTTATAGACCACGATGCCAAGTCCGGCTTTTCATGTGGGTGCTGGGGAGACCGTTCAGGTACTCAGGTTTCCACATCATGGACTTTACTGACTGAGCCATCTCCCCAGCCTGATGTCCCCCCTGTACCCCACCCCTCCCACCACACACACACACACACACACACACTTTTTCTTTTTGAGGCAGAGTCTTAATAGCCTCATGTTAGCATGGAGCTAACATGTTAGCCTCATGTTAGCAT